TCATAGAAAAACAATTAGTCTAAAAAAAGACAAGATGATAAGTTTATTTAGTTTAGGAACTTTTGTGTTAACGCACTGTGGTGGAGAATTAGGACTTTGAGTTGTAAATCACTACAAGTAGTTAGCGCAGGTTTTCTAGCTGAAATAAAGAAATGAGTGCAAAGCAGTGGACGGGATGAATGGCAAGGGAATTAAAGATACCTGCCGAGGGAGGGGGGTGGTGTCGAAGGAGGCGAGAGGAGGCATGTGGTGGGCTGGCTAGGGCGATAGGTGACGTCATGGGTGCGGGCAATGTATTGGATGAGGTCTATATGATGTGCATCGTTGTCATCCTGGTCCATGCTCTCGCTGGCGGCCCGCTGGCGCTGGAACTGTCTCCTCTTTGGAGAGCCTGGGTCGCGTCACACACGAAGAAAGAGCTGTGAGTTATAGGCGTATGACAGCAGGAGTGAAGTAACATTTCATTCGGCAGAAAGCTTCTATTAACTGCGGAGAAGATTTTGTGATGTTTTGGGCTTTTTTTTAGGTCCCTTGGTATGACAGAAGAGGCGCGTGCAGACGAGTGTGTATATAGAATAAGGAGGATCGGTGCGGAGGATTTACTCAGGGGCTCAAATTGATTTGGAACAACCAATCTTTGCGTCACTGAGCCATCTGTCTATTATGCTTGTGTGTACATCTCCACCTCAGTCAAAAGGCAGCTCACAGTTGGTTGCTAAAGCCTGCTGCTTAGCCATTGTATGTTTACCAAGAGAGAAAGCTGGCACAAATACTTCACACACAAATAAACCAAAAAAAATAAAAGTCTAATAGTATAGTTTTATAAACAGAGAACCAGGAAGAACTATTTGTACTTCCTTGCTGCACTGATACTGATTTTTCTCAAAAAGAATATCACAGAGATACCATCCATTACCTCTGGTGTCCAGACTCGATGCTCTCTGGCTGCTGTCCAGCTTCCATTTCTTGATCTTGAAGTAGGGACTGGCCCCCTCTAGACTAGCATGGCGCCGCAGTTTAGTAAGGAACTGCAGCACGGGCCTCTGGCCTGCACCGCCACCAGCAGGAGAGGCACCGCTCCCCAGCACTGCTGATTCTCCCACACTGACACTGCTGCCTCTGCCCCGAGGCCCCACTCCCATCATTTCAATCTGAGCAGAGAAAAACGTAGTCAAAAAGAAAACCTGCCAAGAGTAGTAGTCTGTGTAAAACCCTATCTGACAGTGATGTTCCTTGTTTACCCATCAGCCATCATTCTTGCTGGTCCTTCCTCAGGCTACGTGACCCTCTAATGCCTGTGTGGATGACTCACTTGTTGACTGGCTCGTGGGTGTAAAGACTGACTGACTTAAGAAAATGTATCACTCTACAAATGACTAAATATTCATTCCACAAACTCCACGTTGACCTAGATTCTAAACTAATGCCTTGTTTACTTTTTTTCATCGCACGACCTCTTACAAATCATTTATATGCACGCTCAGCATCTAGAAGGCCTTTGGATTCATGTATCTTTACTGTGTGGCTCCTCAGCAATAAAAAGGTTGTGTGACACCAGCCTTTGCACAAAAAAATATATTAACAAGGTGATGTAAAATAATATATATTGATATATTTCACTCACAGAAGTGTGGCTTGGCTCTTTGGTGCTGTCCACCACAGAGTTGAGAGCATCTCCAGGGAGGGCACAGCTTGGACTGACACTCAGGCTGGTCAACGCTGTTTGTGGCAAGGGACACAGCATTGGCTGCAGGAAAGCACAAATAAAACTAGACTTTGTTATCTTATGCACAACTGCTGTGCATTTACATTCTTTTAGAAAAGTTTATTTTTTGTGTTAAAGTAACAAATATCAATTAATTTCAAGGACAAATTTCCTTCTAGGCTGTCATCCCAGCTTTACCTAAATGGAAAATTAATACCTGGGTCTGTTGAAATGATCCCTGAACCCTATGTTTGGACTCATTAGGTTGCCAGATTTTCTTGACCTGACCCAAATAAAAGATGTTTTAATTGGCCCCGGTGAATACTAATGACTATTGTTACATCAGCGCGAATGGCAGGTCAAGGCTGTCACCTGGAAGATGGAAAGGGCTGACTTAGCAACAGGGCGCGTTGTCATCGTGATGGTGTTCTCCGCAGAGTCGCACTCGTGGATGGTGACTATCTTGAGGGCCGGAGGAGGTATGTGGAGGTTTGTGAGCCGGGCATTCTTCAGATGATGAAAGTCACCCTCCGTCAGAGTGTACCTGAGGTGGAGAACGCTGAGTTACTAAAAAACTATAAGAGTGTTGAATTATGAAGCTTATCTTTGTATAGGAGGGAAACGACCAACGGGAGATATTTGACTTCAAACCCATTAGAACGACCATGATTTCTAGATTTAGGCTTAAAGAAAAATTAGTATTTTAGAGTCGGAGCTTTAAGGGAAAAGTAGGGCAGTGAAGTAATAACAAAGGGTGAGAGCTTTTTGTGTCTGAAGCATACATAATGCAGACTGATTTTATTCTGAACTCTAAAGTAACAAAAGCATGTGGGACACAGTAAAAGGTTTAGATACTGAGCTCACAAAGAATTAAGCACTGGTGTAAACCTACATCAGTGAGTGTCCGATTCAACAACACAGAGATTTGCAAATATGGGCTGCTTTGTTTGTGTTGGCTTTCTAACCTGCGGCCTTTCTCCTGGGTTTTCTTGCCGTGGTCGAAGAGCGCAGCCTCATTGAAGGAGACGCGACGGCCTGTGGGGCCTGTGGAGAGGAAACGCTCTGTTTCTTGGTCATGAGAACTGGCCATGGACAGGCAGTCTGACTCATCCACCCTGATGGTGATTTCTGCCCAGAATGAAGGAAGAGGAGAACGATAATTACACAAATAGCAAGAGCACAAGGACAGAACAGTAGAAGAATAGAAGTAAGTGTGTGAGTTCAGCTGTAATGCTGGTCTGTCAGTCAGTGAATAAGCTGCACTAGTACAAAGTGAAATATGGAAATACCATTTATGAATCCCACTGACTTTGGTGTTTTACTCCTCTCTGACTAACAGGATACAGCTTTAATTCATTCACTGAAAATTGCTCTCTACCTAAGATGGGCCGATGCCAAACGTTTGCAAGAATCATGCTCCCCAGAGGAAGTTCCCACTTTCATCTCCTGTTTTTTAGACCTCTGTGAAATGTGTCAGTGTGGTTTTGTGTCTCAGCAGTTATTTTAATGGATTGCCTTCAAATTTTGCAAAAGCATTCATGTCCTCCCTGGGATGAATTACATAGACTCGTGTGCTGGGTTCGTGTAATGAGCGGTGTTTAATATTACATTAGGATGAATACACAGCATATTACAGCGCTGAAGAAAACGTGTCTGATTCGAGTCCCCATGGGTACCTCTCTTCCTACTTGTTTCCTCTATTGCACTGTGTAATAAGACTATAAAATGCCCACCAAATACTGGAAAACTAAATGCACTGCAAAAGTAGTGTGGTACAAAACGCATGCTGCCTCTAATATATCTTGTTCACTTGACACAGATAGCATTCACTGGTAACACAATGTCAAAATGTGTTCCTGGAATTGCACAGCTATTTCAGCTAATTGGGATGAGATCACAATATTTTAATGGAATACACATTACAAGATTACACATTTGTGCTGACATGATAAAAATATCCATGCCATCATCCCATCTCTCCAGTTCACAGCTTCCCTATCTCCATTACTTCTCCCTCCCTCACTCACTCGCCTCTTTCTCTCTTGTCTCCTTCTCTAGCCCTCCCTCACATTTCTCCTTCCTTTTTTTTAAGTCCTTTTTTTCTCTTACCATGGGTGGGCTGAGACTCCTCCAAGTAGGTGTTGTTGGTTTTCTCAGGGTCATTGCTGGCCCTGGGGCACACAAAAACATTCAGATCAATGCAGTGACATGATTACCCCTGAAGTCTGTCTTTCATCTGATGGACCCCGCTGATGCGGGCAGGCACTCTGGACACCACAGAACAAGGCCTTATGATCAGTGTTACTATCTGACCTTCAGCTTAGTCAAAATAATGCACCTGGGGCCACATGCGTGGCAGTCCGTGGTGATACACATAAAACTGTGTCTTTGCACGAAAGCAGAAATGTTGCATTTTTTTTTTGTCAGACTTATGAAACTGCACTTATGCGTGGCCTTCCTTTATACAAGTCCATCACCATAAATGGTCACGTGTGCACGAGCCTCGTTCCGTCCTTGTCCGTGGAAGGTTGTAAACACTCGTGATGTAAAAGCGCTGCTTCCACTGCAGATTATTAGACGAAGGCTAATAAGACAACCGCAAAGAAGAAGCACATTTTCACCAAATGTAAAATTCAGAGAAAGGTCCCTGTGTTATATTTGGTGGTCCCAGTTCTGCTATCACAAATGGAACAAAATTCTGAAAGGAGAAAAGTAATGCAAGTTGTCAACTCAAAAAAAGACTACAGAGATCCTTCAGTATTGTCAAAGCAATCATCCTTATGCTCAACAATTTTCGACAGAAGCATCTATTTAAAATATGCACAGTTTATCCCTCCAATAAATAAATAAATAAATAAGAACCTCACAGAATTTATTACATACTGCATTCTTCACATTAACATTTGTTAATGGTACATTTTAATTGTTGAAATAGAGGTATGTGTCTGAACAGGTGTAAATTAAGAATGCATGCTCTGCGTATGTTAAATGTAACATATTATGGCTTACCTCATTTTGTCACAATTATGCTGTTACAATGGCTGCTCATATTAAACGATAAGCATCTGTTCATGTGCAAGTAAACCCTGTGCACTAAAGTCTCAGGCTGCTCCGTCCCCTCTGTTTCTGACAGTTTTCTCTTTCTTGGCTCTGTGTGATGTTGGTCAGAGTAGTAGATACTTAATATGGTCAACCAAAGCACATAGCTCTGGCTGTGACTACCGAAGTGAAACACTCTGTTTGTAAGGGTCGTCCAATCAGAAACAAGGTAGCTCAAAGGGATGAGGAAGCTAAAGCAGCTAATTTCAGACAGATGATCAAGTAAGAAGCTGCTCCAAGTCACATTATAAGACAAATAAGGATTATTTAGAACTACTCTAGAAGAGTCCAAGAATTTAAATGTTGAGTGGGAATTTAGCATAATAGGTTTTTTCTGCTTCCCTTATGGTAAATGGTAAATGGCCTGCATTTGTATAGCACTTTACTCAGTCCCTAAGGACCCCAAAGCGCTTTACACTACATTCAGTCATTCACCCATTCACACACACATTCACACACTGGCAATGGCAAGCTACATTGTAGCCACAGCTGCCCTGGGGCGCACTGACAGAGTGCCAGGATTGATACAAAGGATTGATACTGTTTCAAAAACATCCATATGTACTTCTTTTATAAATAACAGTGCTTGAGTGGGAAGATGTGTACGCATGGTTTTGTGTGGAGGATAGAAAAACTGCGATTCCAGTCAAATCTGATGCACGCTGCTTAAAATGGTGTTTTTTGGTCCCAAAATACGTTTTTTAACAATGTTTTTCTCCCTGGAAGTTATACTCCATCATCAGTGCTGTTGCAAAATTCTTTCAGTGTCACGCCTCTCACTTGAGTCACTGTTACATTTATACATTGAGTTCTTGTGCTTTATTAATACACTTGCATGTGAACAGCTTACAAATTCAGCGATCAAACAACTATCAGAATAAGTTATTAGGACTGAAAGTTCACTGTGCTTTTTATATAAATGGCCTGCTTGGGTGTGTAATCGATGAAGGCCTAAATCATTGCCAGTAACTTGATAACCTTCAGGGCCAGGGGACTTCTTGAACTGATAAAGCACGAGGCTTTATTGGATTGTACACTTACACTCATCTTTAAGGACAGAGAGGAGATGCACAATAAAGGTCATTTTGTTTAGCAGATAGAGCGTCTATTGCTCTATAAGCATATCTTTACGCTTTTTTTGTTTTAACATCTTTAGTAGCTTATAATCCTCCACAGTGCTGCTTAAATCCCATACACAGGGTCTAGTTGATGAGGCAGAAAAAAAGAAACTGAAAGCTGTTCCAGAGTTGAGCAGAGATACAAGTTGTATGTGTGCGTGTGTGTGTGTGTTGGTGGGTGTATGTTGGTGTGCATTGTGTGGGTGTGAAGTGACTTAAGGGAATTTTCTTTCCACTCAGATCTGTGCTTCTCCTTGTCTTTCATTTCCTCTGTGGCTCCTCCTTTCCTGTTCAAGGTATGCCCGTGAGTTTGTGTGTACATATTCTCAGCGGTGCGCGCACAGCGCTCATTTGAAACGCAAGATTAATCACTGCCGATGGCGGCTATGAAATCTCATTACACTCATCATTTGTACCGGTCTGTCCGATTCTCCTTTTGCTCTCTCCCAGGCTTTTCACGCCTCAGCCTCTGAGCTCTTTGTTTATCTGCATCTAGGTGCTGTGCACTCGTGTATTCAAGCATACGTGATAATGTGTGCTGCTGCAGAGATGGACAAAGAGTCTCGAGGGTCAGCCATCTTGCTGTACAATAAACACGCAAATAAATAAGCATGAATATTGAATGTCTTTCCACTAAGGTGTTCTCATAGCAGCCTCATGGGAGTCTCAACACTCAAATGGAAGACATGTATAATGAGTTGTTCTGCTTTAACGTGCTGAGATGTCACAGTAGGGCAACATTTATTTTCTTACCACCTACTGCAATATAGCTTTTTTTGTGTTACAAAGATGCTTTCGTTTGTTTGACGGCTCACTTTTTGCCTGTTAATGACGTCACAGTGAAGAACTGGATAATGTTACAGGATGCTGTTAGCGTCATTTGCAATAAGCGTTTATCTATTATGCATGTATACAGATTTGATAGAAGAACTGGTTTGTCTCGAAATAGCAGTTGCATGAAAGCATGAGAGCAGTCTCTGTGAACAAAATACTTTTATGCTGCTCGGTAAAGCAACACCTGCGCACCTGAATCTTTTTTCTTTCATTTGTTGTTGATTTCATGTTTTTGGAAATTTTCAAGGATGTAGAGTTTGGTATTGTTGCTTGGTGCTAACAGTGACAACAGCAACAGCCTGAAATTTCACTTCATCTACAGCCTACTGGTGATGGCCAGAGGGGCCGATGGCGCGATATGGCAGCCTCGCCTCTGTCAGT